ACAATGCCCTTCTGCTGTGTGTTCAGTCTGTTGAGATTCCAAAAAGGCCAATGTTAATAAGTATAATAAAGCTTGTAAAGAAGCTCAGTGGATATTATTTTAAATATGTTACTGATTAGAATTCTAATGGAATGAGAATTGACTATAAATTTACTTTCACTTAAATTTGTTAAAATACTCACAGTATATCCCAACTTAATGTGCAGTATAAGTAAACCCAGGGACTATCTGTTTGTACAGCAATGTGGGGCAGGGAGTGTTTGGAAAAGGTTTGGTGTTTGCACTAATGGTGCATAAACTACACCGCAGATTTCTGGGTATGATGTGAGAATATAAGTGCCAGTCTGTATCTTTTTGTGTGTTGGTGTCTGTCCACCTGCACACTGTAAAACTCCCTCCCGACAGGGTGTTTCCTCCCCACCCCTTAGCTTTTAACAGGAGAGATTTCTAGTGAGCTCTGCTGGTTGAAAGATAATTAGTACGCTAAATCTGCATAATCTGACACATTCCCACAGCGACTCATAGACTTCCCTGAGCCAGGAAAACCATTTCTAAATCACCTCTTCATGTTGTTTATCTCTCTCCTTCTTCCCCACACACTTTTCTCTGTCTAACGTTTCTGTTTTTCCCCACACAAAATCTATCTCTTTCAATCTGCTGAATAGCTATTTGTGTCTGGAGTTTCATTAGTTTATGTGTGTATTGTGTACCATAAATACTAAGAAGCAAATTCATTATTAAACACATTGATACTAATCAGCAGCAACTCACAGACCTCCATTACAAAACTGCAGAGGGAATACTGGGGAAGAGTTCGCTAAGAATGAACTCTGCCCAGTAATAATGTCATTTATTTCCGCATGCTATTTGTGTGTTGTGTTAGCACCCAATACACTAAAGGAATTATGCAAATCAGGTAATGGCGCAAACATGCTCAAAATTAGTGCTGAACGCCATTTGCACAGGACAATTCCCCATCTTGCAGGCCGATTCTGCATGATTTGAGATTGTGGAGGCTGCAGAAACTACTGTACTACATCGCTCCATTACTGCTGTCCAAATACCTGAATCAGCTCTTTAAAATGCAGATTCTCATCAATGCCATGTTTTTGGATTTGTGCCCGGCTATAATGCTTTTCTCCATCATTTGATCATCATTGGATGAATTACTGTTGCCATGATCAATAGAAAATGTACACAAATTTCTCTTTGTAATACAATTCTGTTAAAGGTACAATATGCAGGATTTTTGCAGTAAAATATCCAAAAACCACTAGGCCAATGTTATATATTTTGTTTAGTTGATTACTTACAATATCCCAAATGTTTCCAACTTTTTGTAAATAGTGAGAAAATTGCGATTTTAACCAAGGAAACGGGGCGTGTGAGCAGGGGTGAGGAGTCGCCAGTCAATGGCGTCATATCCGCGTTACCCCCGGTATCCGCCAGGTTTGACCTCGTACTGCAATAGTAACCATGGCGACAGACGTTGACAACTGGGTTATGCCTAGAAGGACGCTCACGCTGCTGTTGTTTTGTTCAAACATTTTGGACCATGGCAAGCAGACTTTGAGACAAAAAGAGGACTAAAACGAAGATCAACATCTTTCGAGATGCCAAGAGCTCCACGTCCGCGACTAACTTCAACTTGACAGAGACGCAAGTGTTGCATGTTACTTTATTAGACAGGTGAGCAAATGTACATAAAACTAATCAATGTTATTTAGTTCAACATGATGAAATGTTAGAATATGATCTGTATGTTATTCTAATGTTGATCTAGCTTACTTGGTCTCATACAGCCAACAAAACAACCTGACTAACAACATTCAACACACTCAAATGCAGTTTAGTGTGATAGTGTAACTGTTAGAGCAAGTGAAACAGCGCTGCGTTACCTCAAGTTTAACTTAATTCGTTAAATAAACTGTGTGGGAGTATTAATCCAGCACTTGCGTGTAGTTCGGTAGAATGAAATGTCCTAGCCTATTCTTTTATATCCGCGGGACTCGCGTTGCGTGTGGCGCTGGTAACGTTATACGTCTAGCAATCGCGCCCTGCATCATACCACAGTCATGTTAAAAACATCAATGTATTCACTCATCCTTAAAAGATCCATCAGCTTGACGACAAGATCCATAATTACACTTAATGCGGAATATACGTCATCAATATACGCCTTTGTTATTGTAAGAGGTAGCGACCCCTGGTGGCGAAAAAATCCTGCATATTGTACCTTTAACCGTCCGTTTTCCACAGAAGACTTAATGATGAAAGTGTGCTCTCACTGGCTGACTGATACTATTACATGCTCTCACATGATGTCTTCTGACTAAAGCTTACAGTAATAGCATAAGGGCACACAACTGCACACATGCATACATAGAGTTTGTTTGTATCTTTTGCATTTTCAGATTTCAATTCTCTCCAAATGAAATGCTTAAATCTGTCTGTAGGATTAAAAGAGTATCAGGATCAGGAGAAAGCTGAATAGTGCTTTATATTTTGCAGTTTCCATCGGAACCAATGGTCTATGTAGTTTTGTGATATAATTTCATTAAACCCAACACAAATATTCCTCAGAAGTGTAAATTATTTTCGGTTAGAGTGTGAAATGTGAGGGGGTTAGAGGGGATCCGACTCTGATAATTAAAGCATAAATAAATCCCCAATCGACGTCATATACTTAAAAGCACACTTAATTCTACACATAACATTTTAACAGCTCTGGAAACAGACACACACACACACACGTTGTGTTTTCATGTTTTAGACTTTTCATAGAGATAATGATTGTATACTGTACAAACTGTATATTCTACCCTAACCCTACCCATCACAGAAAACTTTCAGTATTTTTATATTTTCAAAAAACATCACTTAGTGTGATTTATAAGTTGTTTTCCTCATGGGGACCATAAAATGTCCCCACAAGGACAAGGATTTTGGATATTTCCATCTTTATGGGAACAGTTTGTCCCCATAATGTAAGGTTTACCAGGCCACACACATACACATATTTTTTATGTCCATATATATATATATATATATATATATATATATGGAGCTTTTTGGTGCTTATATACAGTCCCCTCCACAATAATTGGAACCCCTGTTTAAGATGTGGTCGAGGACTTCTAAAAATTCTCCTTTTTTTAAACAACATAGAACCCAAATGCAAAAAAAGAGAAACATCCAACCTTTTATTTAAGTACATTACTTTAGTGGTGAAAAAAAAATCACACATTTAGAAAAAAAAACCTTGAAATTATGTGTCCCACAATTATTGGCACCCCTAACAATTCCGCTGAAAAATTTAATTGATTTTTTTAAAATATATTTTTCTGTAGTTGCTAAAGTTGGTCAGGGTATCTAGGAACTTTTAATTAGTAATTCATGACTTCCTGTTTCCCTGATGTATAAATATGACATGACACAGAGGCCTAATTCTCTTTCCCATTTGTCAACATGGCAAAGACAAGAGAACATACACCATTCAAATAAGGCAGGTGTGTGTCGACCTTCATAAGTCAGGCAGTGGCTACAAGAAAATAGCCACTCGCCTTACCTTGCCCGTATCTCCAGTCAGAGGAATCATTAAGAAGTTTAAAACAACTGGAACAGTGACAAACAAGGCTGGAAGAGGTCCCAAGTTTATCTTGCCACAACGCACTGTGAGGAGGATGGTAAGAGAAGTAAAAAAAAACTCCTAAGCTCACTGTCACAGAATTGCATCAAAGAGTGGCATCTTGGGGTCACAAAGTCTCCAAAACAACCATCAGACGCTCTCTACATGCCAACAAGCTGTTTGGGAGGCATGCAAGGAAAAAGCCTTTTCTCACTAACACTCACAAACGTAAACGTCTGGAGTTTGCTAAGCGGCACTGGGACTTCAACTGGGATCGTGTGCTTTGGTCAGATGAGACTAAGATTGAGCTTTTTGGCAACAAACACTCTAAGTGGATCTGGCGTAAAACAAAAGATGAGTATGCCGAAAAGCACCTCATGCCCACCGTGAAGTATGGTGGAGGATCTGTGATGCTGTGGGCCTGTTTCTCTTCCAAAGGCCCTGGGAACCTTGTTAGGGTGCATGGCATTATGAACGCTTTGAACTACCAGGACATTTTAAATAAAAACCTGATGGCCTCTGCCAGAAAGCTGAAGATGGGTCGTCATTGGATCTTTCAGCAGGATAATGATCCAAAACATGTGGCAAAATCTACACAAAAATGGTTCAGCTGTCACAAACTCAAGGTCCACCCATGGCCATCTCAGTCCCCAGACCTCAACCCAATCGAAAACCTGTGGGGCGAGCTAAAGAGGAGAGTGCATAAGAGAGGACCCAGGACACTGGATGATCTAGAAAGATTGTGCAAAGAAGAATGGTCAAAGATCCCTCTCTCTGTGTTCTCCAATCTTGTGAAATGTTAGAAGGAGATTAAGTGCTGTCTTGTTGGCAAAAGGGGGTTGTACAAAGTATTAACATCAGGGGTACCAATAATTGTGGGACACATGATTTCAAGGGTTTTGTTTTTTCTAAATGTGTGATTTTTTTTTGGGGGGGGGATTTTTTTTACCACCAAAGTAATGTACTTAAATAAAAGGTTGGATTTTTCTCTTTTTTTGCATTTGGGTTCAATGTTCAAGGTTCAATTTTTAGAAGTCCTCGACCACATCTTAAACAGGGGTGCCAATAATTGAGAAGGGCACTATATATATATATGGACATGAAAGTTCACAAGACTATCAACATCAGCCACTATCTGCCAGAACACCCAGACCCAGCCTGAAAGCTTACTCTCTCTGTAAGTAATTGTATATTTCAGTGTTTTGGTGCACTCAGCACTGTATCAGAACACATTCAGCGTGAGCATGATGACATTTAGATACGCTAGAGAAGAGAATGAGATCCCCTCTAGAAACATGCCGTCTAATAGCCTTTCTGATCAGTGTAACGCTCCTGTGCTGATATGGTTTGTGTGTGTGTGTGTGTGTTTCAGAATGCAGGAGCGGGCGGTACAGAGGGTGTGCGCGTGGTTCTTGCTGGTGTTTTTGACCCTTCTGTCTCTCTGGGGTCACCTGTCTGACGCCTCTTCTCATCGCAGTCACATCGGTAAGTCAAGGTCAAAGTTCATTCAGTCAAGCATGTTGTTATTGTTTTACTTTCATTTAAACCTACAGCGTTGATCATTTTAATGAGCCATCTCATTTAAAAAACAGCTGATGTGGATTGCATGAAGTCAGATTTGGGGCGATATTACCATAAATATTTTCCGTCTGTTTTTATTTTAAGGATCTTAAGTTTTTGTTTGGTGCTTATATTTGTCTGAACCAGAAATTTGAACAACCCAAAGACAGAAAGCAGTGTGTTTTAGACAGCTCGGTGGTAGGTGGATGCTTAGATCAGCTTAAAATAGTCTAGAGGATGTTCTCTATTTATGAGAAGCACTGATGGACTGCAGGACACTGACGTCTTTGGGATCATGTAGAGGCCACTGCAGAATGTTCTAGTTGAAAGTGCTGCTGAAATGATTAGAGTTTATTTGTCCTAAGCACTTGTTTCTCTTATAATTATTGAAGATGACATTGATTCTGATTTATATAATTGGCAGACGCTAATAAAGCTTCTGTTTTGTGGCAAGTTACTCTACCGATCAAAAGGGTCTGTACGATTTTTTAAATGCTTATGAAAGAAGTCTCTTATGCTCACCAAGGCAGCATTTATTTAATCAAAATACAGTAAAAACTAAAAAGTAAAATTGTGAAATATTATTACAACTTAAAGTAAGTTTTCTTTCTATTTTTATATATTTTAAAATAACATTTTTCAAAGATTTTGTAATTACTCCAGCCTTCAGTGTTGCATGATCCTTCTAATATCATTCTTATTTTCTGATATGCTACCCAACTGTAATTATCAATATTGAAAACAGTTCTGCTATACTCCATATTTTTGTGGAAACTGAAAAAAAAGTTAAATACAAATTTTTATAGATATTATAGATATAGAAAAATAATATTTTGTAACAATGTCTTTTGATCAACTAAACGAGTCCTTGCTGAATAAAAGTATTCATTTCTTTAAAAAACAATTCCCAAACTTTCCCCCTAACTATCTTAAATCAGTAGTAAATCAAATGTAAGTTTTGTTATTTGTTCATTTTGATAACCATGTTGCAACATACCTGAATTTATAGACAAACTTCTGATTCAACACAGTGAAATTCACACTTTTTTTTTTTCAATAGTGTATTTGTCCGTTAAAGCAAAATGGTAGTTTAGTTTCTAAGAAGTGTTTCTAAGAAATTATTTTGACGAGGTTGGTAGACCTATCTTTTCCTGACTTGTGCAATAATTTTAGGCCACTTGCCTGAAACTATTAATATGAGTTGTTTAAAAAAAAGAACAGTCTGATAATGCATTGAGTCTCTGCACTGCTTGTTTCTTTTCTTTTGTGGTGAGCAGATTTCATTTCTTGACAACATGACTCACTCACTGTGCGAACTTCTCTCATCTCGCAGCAGAATGGAGGTTCAGACTATTTTTTGGGAGAGGGTGTAAGGGACCACGAAAAGAAATATTAAAACAAAGGGAATGATTTGTGAATACATTGCATTTATTGTCACTTTAAATATATATATAATTAATTATACAGCATACTACTAGAATGTACTGTATGATGTAGGTCCCTATAATACATAGTGTCACAAATAGTTTCTCTGTTTACAGTATAGGAGTGTGTACTGCCCATTTGTGAATATGAAATCTGCATGCTTTTTTTTTTTTGGCCACCATCTTCCCTACAAAGTATTTCTTTTTTAGATTGGATAAGTAGTCCAGAAGTTGAACGTGTGAGCCAATCAGAGGAGGGAAATAGTTCAGACAATCAGTTAATTACACACTACTGCTAACAGGTCAGAGCAAGGTGACTGAACACACACACACACACTAAACCACTGGGAGGGAAAAAACTAATAACTCTAAACTCTTCTTCCCTTCGAGCAGCAGAGGCTTCAGGGACAATGAGCTAAATGAGAGTGAAGTATTTGTTTCACACACACATACACAGGGAATATAGCCAGAAAGTTTGCTGCTACTGTAGGTCATTCTTTATGAGGCTCATCCTCTCAATAAAATTAATATCCCTGGAGAGAGAGAGAGAGAGAGAGTAAAGGAGGGAGAAGGGCTGCAGAGATCCATTGAAGGGCATAAAGAAGAGAAAGAGACAGAAGTGTGGAAAGAGAGACCGAGACAGATGAGTGTGTCATGAGATGAAACGCAGGAAGAGACACAGCTCTTGTGGACGACTGCAGTCCTGAGCTCTCATGCCCTCTGAGTGTGTGTGTGTGTGTGTGTGTGTGTGTGTGTGTGTGTGTGTGTGTGTGTGTCCTGTGCCCTTCTGCCCTGTAAAACATGAGTCTCTCTGACATCTCCTAAACCTGCCCACCTTAAGCAAGACTCTGAGACCAGTGACATCAAAACTATGAAGATGAACAATTGATTTCAGTTGGGATGGTGTGGTGCAAGGACGTTGATGAAAGAGTTTTTTTAATTGTGAAAAAGCTTTATAGCTGAGCAAACTTTGGAGCAAAGTCTGAAAAACTTGGGAATTGGTTCATTGGGAAGATCCGTGGAGATCAAATTGTTTAAAAAGAACCAATGCACTGATTCAAGTCGCTGTGTGTTTAGCATCTTTTTAATAATGAAATAATTAAATGTTGCTTTTTGTGCTATCTATAAATGTTTTTAACTCATTTTATATATTTATTTAATATGTAGCACTGGTCTAAAAAAAACTGTTTCAGTAAATTGGTTCAATGGGAAGATTGATGGAGATTAAACTTGAAAAAGAATTGATTCAAAGATTTGAGTACATTTCTATACTAAATACTTTCATAACTCTAGGAAAAAACTTGACTCATTGATTCAGGTCACTGCATAGCATCTTGAGTTGACAAAATACTTTGTGAAACACTGCTGTTTTTGCTACAAACTATGTTTTTGAATATATATAGTGGGGAATACAAACCAGTTCCCTTTCGAGGGAACTCGCGATGCGTCACTTGGCGCTTTGGGAACGCCCCCAGCGTGAATGCGTCTGAGCATCAATGTCAACTAGTCCAATGGAAAGAATGAGCGTCACGGGCGGGTGACGTCATGACCAGGAAGGCATAAGAGCACATCCGGTGAAACGCGGCATTAGCTTCTGTGTCTCAGCAAGCGATCTGTGTCATTTTGTCTCTGTCTATTTACTGTTGTCTGTTGCGGAAAAGGATGGAAACTAAACAAGTGTACAAACAGTGTGCTTCTCCCTGCCCGCGTTATTTAACGGGTGGGGACACACACGAGCTTTGTGTCATTTGTTTGGGAGTGGAGCATGCGGTCTCAGCCTTCGAGGGGGCTGAGTGCCAGCATTGTGAGATGTTACCGCTTCGCATGCTCCGCTCTCGCCTGTCACTCTTTGATAAAGAGAGTGGGCAGGCTCGCGATCCGCAGGGATCAGGACCCGCGTCTGCTGAGGCAGCGCGGAGAATGCATTCCTGGGGATCGCAAAAGGATCTTTTGGAGGGGTTGGAGACGGGTCCGAGGGCTCTTTCTCCTTCCTTACCCGAGAGATCCAGCGCTCTCCCCCCGGTGTCGGAAGCACGCTCTGCGGTTTCTTCCGCCCGGGGAGAGAGCCCTCCATTACTTCATTGCTCTTCCTCCGAGGAGGTCGATGCGATGAGTTTGGAGAGTGAATGCACACACATGGGGGAAAGAGATTCACAATTTATTTCCCCAGCATATGATGAGCTGGTGGATGTTATGTCGCGGGCTGTAGATAAATTAAAGATTGAATGGCCATCTGATAAGAGGGGCGCTCGTCCTAAGAGTAAATTAGATGAGCGCTTTTTATCTTCTACTGCTTCATCTCCACCACGAGGGCTTCCATTTTTTCCTGATCTTCACAATGAGATTTCTAAATCATGGAATAAGCCATACTCTTCACGTCTTTTCAGCCCTCAAGTCAATATTTATTCAAAAATTAGAGGGCTGAAAGAGTATGGTTATGAGGCGATGCCCCAGGCGGAACCGAATTTAGCTAGCTATCTTTCCCCTGGTCCCGCATCGTCTCTGAAAGCCTCGGCTTTGCCCACTAGACCGCTCAAAGCCACGTCGGTGTTAGTGGGCAAAGCTTATACGGCAGCAGGTCAAGCTGGAGCATGTCTGCATACTATGGCAGTGCTTCAGGCTTATCAAGCTGACCTGCTGGGGGATCTGGATAATAGCGAGGGAGTTAGTCATGACGATATTCGAGAACTTCGTCGGGCTACCGATCTTTCTCTCAGGGCTACTAAAGAGACCGCCAGAGCAATTGGGCGGTCTATGGCAGCTTTGGTAGCTACTGAGAGACATTTATGGTTGAATCTTTCGGAGATTAAAGAAAAAGATTGTGCTTTTTTGTTAGATGCTCCGCTTGAACCTTCTGGTCTCTTTGGTGACGCAGTCCATGCGGTCGTCGAGAGATTTCAGGAATCAAAAAAGCAAGCGGACGCTTTCAAAAAGTTTATCCCTCGCCGTGTCCAGCCCCCTGGGGCTGCTGGGCGTGAGCAGCCCCAGCCATCTAGCTCATCATATCGTGTGCATCAGAAAGAGAGTGTTGCGTCTCGTGCACCTCCACGTGGAAACTGGAGACAGACGCAACCCTCTCAGCCGAAGTCTTCTAAGTTGAAGCCGGATCTGAGGACCGCTCTTCAGGCGAAGAAGACTTCGGCTCAGAGAAAAAAAAGGTCCTGATGTTCATGCATCAGGCCTGTGAGGACAGCCCCGACCGAAATAGAGCGGTGTACACCTCATCATACGGTGCCCGTTCCATTTCGGGGTCCTCACGAGCCCGTTCTGCCAACCCTGCCACCCTCGGTGCTTCAGGGCGCAGCGGTCTCCAGCGAGTCGCTGATGCTATGCTGCGGCACAGCATCGGTTTCGCGCCCTCTGAGGGGGGCTTTAGAGCGGCCAGTTCAGGTAGTTCCTGCCATTATGTTTCAGGCTCCGGAATTGGCTGTCTCGATAACACCAGAGACCAGCCTCGAGAGGCTGGTTCCCTTAGTAAATTTTCTGGCAGCGTGGAAGCTT